TTTGGCTGTTGTTTGTGTATTTACTTGGAAGCCGTTAAGTTTCATTTCCGTTTCATTTCATTTCGTTTTATTACTTTGGTCAGTTTGATGATTTTTTTCTCCTTTTTTTTTTTTTGCTAGTCTTCTATTAGTTTGGGGGCAGCACCCCTTTTATTCTTGTTAGTTTTTTGAGTTTGGAATCACTTGCGCCTTTTGGCTTCTCACTGCCACCCCCCAGCTTCAAACTGAGATGGTATTTTTTCTTCTTCTGCTGCACTCGAGTTAATTGAAAGCTTAACCTTTACATGCACTTACAGTGATAGTGTTGGAGGGTGCCACGCCCCCTTGTAATGCCCAATGTCAGAGCAATCAACGACACGCCCACCGCCACCGACAAATGATTCAACTCATCCGGACTTCGTCATCGTCTTTTGAGTGTTGAGTCTTAAGACTGTCTTTCTCAGTCGCCTTCGTCATCGTTTTGGTTTAGCTTTTCGTTTTCATTTCGTTTCGTTTGCCTGGTCTTCTTCTAATTGCCGCTGACTTCTTTAGCTTCTTGGCCCGGTACTCGTTTTGGGCCAACATTACTTAGGCACGCGCTATAAGCGTTTGCCACGCCCACCGTTGAGAACGTCCCTCTTAGTACCACAAAAATAGGGTCAGCTGAAGAGAAGCATTTTTGGGGTCTAAGGGGAGCAGCGGCCAAAATTTTTGGGTGTGCAGCATAGTTGAGCATACACTGGGAAAAATATAATTTATTTTTTATCTATTTACCAAAATTCAACAAATTTGGATAAAGCATTTGGTCACTAAGAAGATTTTAGCGAATGTTCTAGGCAAATTCCTGATTGTAGTCGCCTAAAAGTAGGCAATTAATTTGGCGATGTAAATGCTGAGTTATTTTATGGTAGGAAAACTTAAGTTTAACATATTTATTTGCTTATTTAGTACCAGGCTTTTCAAAATCAAATGTTTTTAAATGTATTTTATATTGCATAACTATTTTATTTGTGTTGATTATTATTATTGAGACAGTGACAGGCAATTGTTATTATTATTTATATATTTTTTTATACAACAATATTGTTTATGTTATTATTATTAAGAAATTGACACGCAATTGATATTTTTATAAATCAATATACTTTATATAGTTTAGATGTAAATTAATTCAATATAAAGTACTGTCTATATTTAAATCATCGTTTTTTAGTCAGAAAAAATAATTCTCAGTGCTTTCAAGCCGCAACAACCATGGCTAAGACTACATCAACATTTACTACTTTGTCTGGCTCTTTGTTTTCTTAGCTGGGCGTCATCATTACCGTCAAGAGTCAGCCGGCAATCGTCTTGGCTCAGACCGCAATTTGCCTGTTAACTGGCAACTGCCAACTGGCAGCTTAACTGCTTATAAGGAATGTCGCCCACAAAAAGAAAGAGAAGAAAAATAAGAAAAATATAAAAATAAACCAAAATAATACAAAACCAGCACAGAAAAGCTTTCATCTATATATTTCTTATATTAACTCCAATTTAAGTGAGGCATTTAACTAATTATAGTTAACGTTTTAACACTATTTAAGTTGGCTTTAATGTCATATTTTTCTTTTCACTTTCTTTCGTTGTCATTTTGGTGATGAAAAATATGTTTTAATTTATATAATTTCTTTCTTTTGTCGCCGCTGAATGTTTATTTCGTGTCAGAGATCAGAGCAATTAGTGCTAGCTATTAGCTGTCAAAGTCATTAAACCCGGGAATGGTCTCTGGGGTGACTTTAAAGGCCTACGAAATACTTGAAGTGAATTTCTTTGAGACTTTGAGAGAACACACCTCAACTCAAGACTCTTTAGTATGCTAAAATTCTTCAAGGTTAGAGCTTTAATTAATTCGCAAGTAAAAAGAGGAGCAGCAATTGTATAATTAGTGCCAAGCCATCTCCAAAACTCTGGCACCCACACTCACTCTCTTGAACACTCCCACCGTTGGTGTTCAATTACACAAATGAATGCAGAGAAAACGTCAAAAACTTGGCATTTTCCACGCACAGTCTCAATAAATTAAAGTGTGCCATGGCAAGGGGCGTGGCTGACCAAAGTCTCAGCCCACTAAATTATTTCATTGATGAGTATGCCTTTTGGGTGGGCACTTGAATCCGCTTTCTGGTCGCTCTCAAACCCGAAATAAATCTTTCGATGGGTTGGGCAGCTGCCTCCGAGTCTCTCGGCATCCATTACACAAGCCAAAGTCTACATAAATAAATAAATAAATAAATATTTTCGCGCTGCAAAATCTATTTGAAATGCAAAGCTCGAGGTGGATAATATGTCAACTTTGAAAGCAAGAATTTCTCAAATGGAAGTCTTAAATTTTGAGAGTATTGTTTGCAGAATATATTATTTTCAAGGAAATTCAAGGGAGAACTAAAAGGTGTGGGGTAATATATAAATACTGTTTTATAGTTAAGATTTAAGGGAAGATTTATTTCTTCTATTAACACATTAGTTGTTTTAGATTTAAATCTGTTGTATAGTTAAGATTTTAGGAAAGATCTATGTCTTTCTTTAACCTTTCAATTAATTTAAGATACTTTATGCTCTCCCTCTGACAATTTTATCTCCGATTTTATTCAATATAATCTCCACTCTCTTAATTTAAGACATCATAAAATTTCCAGAAAACCATATAGCAATTATTTTTAATAATTTTCGTTGATGATTCTCTTTGCTTCCATCTGCATAAATTCGCTCACACGCATCTTGATTGCAAAATCGGCAATTCCACAGAAATTGCAACATAAACGAATGAAATATGGAAATGTCTTCGTTTGTTTCTTTTAGTTTTTCTTTTTGTTTATTTGGGGGAAACACCAACCCAGCAAAAGTTTTTGGTAGAGAAAAAGAGCTGTTAGTGGGATTGTTATTGCCGGTAGTATAACAACTTATCACACAGCTTTTGCCGCAGCTTCTTGCAACACCCGGCACAATTTGCAACATAAGGCACACAACCTATATAAATGAAGATTTGGGCAACGAATATGGAAATAAGTGTTTGTGGGTGATACTCTTTTTAAAGTTTGCAATTTGTGTCAATTTCTTCTACGGAAAAATTCAGAAAAAATGGAGAAAATACTCTATAAATCTTTTAAAATAAATAAATTATAATTATATATATTATAATATATTAATTATTATTATTATATCGAGATTGTAAAATCGGGAATTAATTATCTTAACAAATTATGAACTGAGGTATTTGATTAATTGATTTAATTTGATTAATTTCTCCTTTGTTCGAATAAAGTAACTCAATAAAAAGAACTCCAAACATTAACCAGAAAGGAAGCTATCTTCGAAAAGTCGAAGTTTGTATACCCCTCCAAAATCATTGGTTCGAATATGAAATCTATCATAAGTAAGCCACAGATATATTTTTGGGGTCGATGGGAAAACACTAAACTTAACCATCCCTATAGATGTTAACAGTTGGGAGGCCGCGAACAGAATGAGGCCAGTGCGACGGTTGTTCCTCTATTTATACTCTCCGAGAAGAGAGAACAGAGAAAGTAGGAGCGAGAGAGTAAGAGATATCTCTAGAGATGGGTAGAGAGAGATAGAGAGCAAGAGATACCTGAAGCAATACACAGAGACAGAGAGAGAGAGATGGATGGAAAATGTATCTCTATCAAGAGAGGGGAAAGCAGGAAGAGAGAGCGAGAGATTTTCTCTATTAGAATTAGAATTACAAGATTAGAATTTAAGATTTAGGAAATTTTCATAAAAGTGATCGTTAAATTTGTATGAACATTTTTTAAATCTTAATGTTTATATTATTTTATATATCTTATATTTTAAAAACTGCAAAAGTTATACTTTGTTTTTTTTTTTAACATTTTTCCATCGTCCAACTGTAGATTCTGATCAAAAATTCTCTCTTAAATAATCTTGATTTGTTACGATGATTGCTCATAAACAAAACTAATAAATAAATTCACTAATATAATGTTAAAAAATAATTCCTAGAGTGCATACAAATTCGTATTCATATTTTCCCCCCAAAACATAATAATAATAATAGAGTTAAAAAGTAAATAAAAATGTCGGCCAAATAAATTACAAGTACACTCGCGCCTTTTGTACATCTCACCTTTATGCTTTTATGATTTAATATGGGAAAATGCCTCTAAAATTGCCAAAAAAACACCAGAAAAAAGAAAAGCGTTGTGGAAAATGAAAACAGATGCAGAGAGACACAACGTGGGACCACTTAGGCGGAGGAAGCGGCCAAAGGGGGGTGGCGTTTGGCAACACGTGAACAATATAATCGCAAAAATTGCTGTTACCTCCCCACCTTCTTTTTTTTGTTGCCATGTTGACTTTGCCACTTGCCTGTGTCCCGAGCCTCGGTTACACCTGTGTGGCATGGATGATGGGGCAACAAGTGTTGCTTTTATGGTCACTTGTTTTATTGTTTTTTGGCCAAAAAATGCTGGACAACTTGTTGGAGTAGGTCCAAAATAAATTCAGAAATTATGAATATTTAATATGCAAATGAATATAAACAAGATATGAATAAACATGAAACTTCCGATTTCCATATAATTTTGAACAAAAATCTAGAATAATATAAAATGGCTATATCTCCAATTTCACTAAATTCTGTTCAAAACTGAAAATGTTATAATTTTTTTTTGTAAAAATTTTCCGATCATTCCTATGGCAGCTATATGGTATAGTCGATCCGATCCGGCCCGTTACGACATATATACGAGTGAGAGTATATAGAAGACTAACTACAAAGTTTCATTCAGATAGCTTCAAAACTGAGAGACTAGTTTGCTTAGAAACGGACAGACGGACAGAAGGAGAGACGGACAAAAGGACAGACGGGACAGTTATACCCTGTAAGGGTATAACAATTATACATTTAACAAATCAAGTTAAATTGTAATACTAGATCTTGCTCCCTAGCTTTTCAACTAAGCAAGCCCTTCAGTTTTTGAGATAACTTGGCCTGTCTTTTAACAAAAACATAATGTCTGTGTAATTTTGGTTTTTTATTTTGCAAAATTGTGACGAGTTGATCCGAATCCGAATCTTTGGATTCAGATTTTGGCCTTTGGGTGTGAGAGGAGAATGCTGGAGCCCAGCCGGAGAATGGACCATCCTGTGGAAGTCGGGGTGGTGAGGGCGGACACTGAACCAATGCCCGAGAATTCTACCGTAAATCACTTTGTGCCAGACATTCAGTAAGTTGTTGGAGTGAGTTTTGAATAGGAAAACCCTGAAAATCTTGAAAACCCTTTGGGATTTCCTTAGCCGCGAGATACCAAATCCACCGCCAGTCGGTCTAGAGGAGCTCCAGCGTAAAATAGATGATGTTAAGGTCCTTGTGCAAACGGAGCCGCATGGCAATGATCTGCGCATGTTCTTGTTCACGGTGGCGGCCAGTAATGATCACTTCGAGAGCACTCTAGTTCCATTGCCGCCGCAGTTCAGGGCAACAGCCGGACATGGATGTCAGGTGGAGCGACTGCGTCGTGCCATTGAAAATAATTGGCCAAGTCTTCGGGTAATACCCACAATGTTTAATAACAATGAGGAGTTGTTGGGTTTGGCTTCGGATGATATTGATGCCTGGCATTTACTACACTGGCTGCTCGTACCGAATTCTGAATATCCTTTATTTCGCCGTTTATCGATATTGAATCTGAGTCCCCTGTGCCGCTTGATGGGTTTAGGTCAACCCACTGAGGAACCACGTTATCTGATAAGTATTACCTATGAAGCGACAAATAATCAGCAATGGAAATGGCGTCGACCGGAGGACGAGGAGCAACGTTATTATGCCTTTTTGGGTTTACCACTTGATAAGGTTTATCGTTTTCTATATACTGGTGATTTGGATATACCACCAGGTGAACCCATACGTTTGCATCTTCAAATGGAGTTTTCTTTGCAACTTTGTGGTGGATCACCTGACCAACAGCAGGAGGAATCTAAATCCAAATCTCCCGAGTTGTGTTGGCGCAATTCCCTTATGGCCAACACGGAGCAAAGGGCTCTAATCATTTGTGAGCTTCCCCCAGAGTTGGATGAATCAATGGCCAGGTCCCCGGATAAGCATTTCCTCGAGTTCATAGTTCAAGAGTCGACCACCTTGAAACCCTGTTACCTGTTAATATTCGATGAGCCTGTGGCTGCTAAAATGATTCTAAATTGGCCAGGAAATCCCATTGAGATGACTGCACCACCAGGTCGATCGTTGATTAAGCGGACTTCCCATAGGTTCTCTCAGGTGTCAAATTATTTTAGTGAGCGTTTGGAAAATCTTAAGCGGTTGCTCACCAAAACTAATACATCCGAAGGCACAAATTAAGGGACAAAAGGACAACTCTATACACTCTCTAAAATTGATTTTCCATTTAAAGTTAAATTAACAAAGACAGACAGACTTGAAATATATCCGTAACCGTTGGTTATATAATTGTGATCGTGTGATCGGTCCTATTGAATATCCTTACAATGAGTAATAAAATCAAACTTCAGGAGACAAAAGGCTGTATATTCTAGCCACTTGTAATTAATTGTGTTTATTTATAACTTATCTAAAACTCTTCTAAATTCCCTTTAGTTTCACCACCGTTTAAGACAAAAAACGGGTTAAAAAGTAAAGACCTGCCCCAAAAGTTTGCCTCCTTTAAGCCCAAAAAAGACGGAAAAAACTAATCAAGCCCGCGGCTTTTGGTTTCAACTCCCACTTCCCATTAGAGGAGCGTGAAAATTTGGCCAAAATCACAGCCCACAGGCTGGGAAAACAGATATTTTCAGGGGGCGGGTCACGTGCTTGGGCTAAAGGCATTGAGAAATCTCATCAATCAAAATCTTAGTGTGATAATAACGAGCAAGAGAAATCACAAAGCATTTCTTTCAACTAGAAAGAGCCACTAACCCTCAATTCGGTTAAGGATGATGATAGAGATGATGATGATGTTGGGGAAGATGTCTAAACGAACTCCGCGAACTGTGATGAAAATGATGATGATGTTGGGGAGGATGCTGGGTAGGAAACTTGAGGTTTTTCTGGGGATGATTGTGGGTTTTGTGAGAGACTGACGTAATGACCCGGCTGTAGAGACTTTTTCGGGTCTTTATCCTTCTTGTCTTGACAAAGACGGCGCGCAATTTCCCGAGGCCTCCGGCTGGCCGCAGACAACAAATCGAAACTTCCGCCTCATGTCGCCCTGGCCTGGCCTGGCCTTAATTTGAAAGTTAAGCGTTATAAACACGTTCATTTAACGCCAAGAAGAAAACCCCCCTTTTGGCCGCTTTTCCCCCAGTTTTAGCCCTACGGCCATGTATCCATGGCGTACCCAAAGCTAATGTTGCGCGATTTCCAAACACAAATTGCTGTCATTAAAATCATTTCAATGCGAATAAAAGTTGTGCCAGAGAAGCTGTTGAAAAAAAAAGAACCAAGTAAATAAGAAGGAAAATCAAATGGAAATGGAAATGGCTGAGGCCCAACCACAATAAAAAATAAAATTAGATAGAGTGGGGAGACAGACTTTTGTCCACCAAATTGAAATTGTAATGAAATGGAAAGCAGAGGAAAAAGCTGGGGCCATGCAATTAGATGTCTACTTGATGGAAGTCAAGAGAATATAAATAATAATAATGAAAAAGTTCATAAATATGTCATGAAAAGTGAAATTTTGCAAATACAAATGAAGAGAACATATTTTTTCTAGGTCTTTTGGTTTGAATAAATTATGTTGTATTATTATTAAGTTGTGTTAGGTATTATAAAGAATAAATATTATATGATAAGATAACTTTTAAGATAAACAATAATTAATCTTTTTCTCTGAAACTTTTATAAATTTTAATCAATGTTTATAATTGAAATTACACTTCTCAGTGAAAAGTAGAAAAACTTAACATAAAAAGTGAAATTTTGCTTAAACAACTTGAGAGAACATATTATTTCTAGGTCTTTTCATTTGAATAATTTAGGTTGTATTATTATTAAGTTGTGTTAGGCATTATAAAGATTAAATATTATAACATGAAATAACTTATAAGCCACAATTAATCCCTTTATCTGAAACTTTTATAGTTATTAAGCAATCTTTATAATTGAAACTTTTACTCTGTGAAAGGTTAACAAAACTTATCATTGAAGTTATTTCAAGTTTCCACCAACTCGAGAGCATTTTCTTCTCCTCCACTGATATCTCTGGGTTAACTGATTGTGTTGACCAGAGTAATGCCTCGATTTAAATTGCATTTGTTGGCAACTTCAGTTGCAGCCGGCAGCGTGTCATAAATGTCGGCAGACAAACGAAATGAACTGGGGCACGTTCCTTTCATCCCTCGAAGCTCCAGATCCTAATCCGCCCTTCAGTTCTGGAGTTCTGGACAGCGACTTTGGCCGGAAAATTGGAAAACGCCAGACGCACACAGACACACAGACACAAACACACAGAGAGCACGGAAGCGACCCACAGACACACTTGACATCATATCGTTGCGTTTGACAAGAAAACTGATTTGTCATCGCCGTAATGAGCTCGGGGCCTTGGCTAACTCCCCTCCACCCTCGCTCTTACCTCAATGAGATGGCAAAAAGTAAAGCACAAAATGCAATAAGCAGTTGCCATTAAGCACAAGTGTGGCAGAAAGATTCCACAAAAGTGGTGGAAAAAGTGCAAGGAATGTCAGATGAATGGAGCTAAGGAGTTTATCCTGGAAAAGGTGACACAAAAGATAACATAAATAGTAGTAAAGGAATAACAATGGAAACTGCAAGCTAAATATATTATAATGAAACCCCTGAATAAAACTCGTAAAACAAAATAATCATTTACAGAATACTAATAATGTTTTATTATTATTTGAAGTAAATGATGAACATGAAGGTTTACTTCAAAACAAACTTCTATTTCTCCTTTTAAATACCTTGAAATTGATATGAAAACTATATGAAAACATTACATTACCTTCATGACCTGGCAAATGTAATGCAAGTTGTCTGTTTGTAACTCAAAAGTCTGTTGCAGTTTTCTCATTAGCTACCTAAATCCCCACATAAACTTCTGACAGTGAGTCTCTCTCTAAGTTCATTTTAGAGAAGTATGAGGAATGTCAGGCAAAGATATATATTAGAGAAGCAAAAATATAAACAAAATATAAAACTAGGAAAAGCTAAAAATTAAATAAGATAAAGAGCAAAAGAGTACGTTAAGAAATCTTTTAAGTATAGAATAATTTACATAAATGTTATATATATTTAGTTATTTATTATTATACTATACTTCAAATACCAACATTTATTTACTTATGTTTATTTCATAAGCAATTTCTTACATACCATTTGTTTTCTTATATTTTTACTATAGTATATCTTATAAATTTATTTAATATTCGTTCTTAAGGTCACTTACTATCACTTTACCTGCTCAATCTCCATCTAACCTGAGGCTCTTTATTTCTTTTATTTAACCATCTTCCAAGTTTGATTAGCTTGCAAATGAAATTATTGAATGCTTGAGCTTAAATTGGTTTTGTAGTAACAAATATCATAGAGTGAGTCTGAAATTGAATTGTTATTGAGTTCCCCTTTTTGGCATTCCCAGTGCTCCTCCCCAGGTGGTGACATGATTACCTGTCAGTGTGTAACTAACTTTAATCCTCATCCCGAGTAAAGAGATGATGGAATGGAGTGTGTTGTTGGATGATGTTAAACCAGCATGCCTCCTACACTGCATCTAAACCAAACCCACTTAGACACACACACACACTAATTCGTGGCAAGGTCAACAGGGTCGCAGTGCATTTAAGCGTTTTGCGGTAGCTAACTAACTAACTAAAAGTGGAGAAGAGCCAACACAGAGAGAGAGAGAGACCTGGTAACCTTTTGCTTCTAATAAATTCAGCTCATGAATGGCAAACCCAACCCACACACACACAACCCGCACTGACTGCCTGCAATTACCAAGTGTAAGTGGTAAGTGGTAAGTACTTGCAACCACTCTACAAAACTTTTTGCCTGCCCTGTGCGCAAGCATTAAAATTAAAATTGCAACTAAAATCTAAATCAACTTAATTATTTTCTACCGAGAATTGACACAGTTCTTGTTTTGGATTGAGTTGCTCCCATTTTAGATGAAGGCGAACTGAAAGCAAACACGTTCCATACATATATTGCAATGTGGTTGGGTGACAATAATTCCAGCCACAGAGCAGCATCCGGTTCTGATCTGTTCGTTGAGCTTCTTGGTACCGTTGATGGTCCCGGACCGGGTCCAGGTCTGGCATCTCTCAACTCTGGTCTGGATTCTGGCTCCGTCTCCTCCTCCTCCTCCTCCTCCTCTGCTCTTCGTTCTGGCCAGGTCTGGTCTGGCCCATACGATGTCGTCTGGCCATGTCAGCAATTAGATTACACCGTGTGTGTGTGTTTGCAACTGTCTGGGCGTGCTGTTGGTGTGCGATTGTGCGTGATTTGTGTGTGGATCAGGGACCACCAGGGAGCAGGGTTGGGTAAAGGGGTGTAGGAGAAAAAACAGAGGTACTTTCAAAATTTTGTGATAGTTTTTTTAAGCCTATAAAAGGTTTTTTCAAAAGGTAACAATGTTATGCAGTATAATGTATGAGCGTTATGCATATTTTTATTAATTTATAGGAGTGTTATGGGTAAAGGAAAAAAAGCTATCTTACAAATTTTGAACAGCTTTTGTCACCTATAATATAATATATATTAAAGAAAGGAACATTACTTGCGGTTTTCAAATGGCATTACACATTTAAATTTTGTATTGTTTTTGATTTTGTGCAATATACATAATCATAATAATAACTTAATTAATAAACCCTTAAATATAAGAATTTTAACTTTATACTTCAATATTTCTTGTAAACCTAAAATAGGTGTAAGGGTAAGGGGTAAAGGCTAGCATTGCTTTTCTTTGGAAATTTAAATGTATGAGCGTTATGCATCTTTTTATGAATTGATTAAAATCGTTATGGTGCAGGAAAAAAATTAACTTGAAATATTATAAACAATTTTTGCCACGTATAACATTGCTTGGGGTTTTTTAATGGCAATAGTTTAAGGCTTACACATTTTATTTTCTTTTTTTTTTGATTTATTATAAAGCATTTAATTAATAAATCGTAAAAATATTCTTAATATAATTTATATATTGCCTTAATTTGCTTGTTTGTAATATAATACTTCAAAAACTAATAGATTTCTTATATATAGTTTATATATTGCTTAATATATACTTGTTTTTAAATAAATACTTTAGAAAATATTAAATTTCGTTAGTTAAATTTTCTCTTGATTTTTTCCCGACTGACTTTTGATTGTTTCAACTTTTTAGAATCCATCTCTCTGCATCCCTGTCCAATTCAGTTGGCACACAAATACCATTTGGCCAGTGGCCGGGTCTTGTTTAGTTAACTGCATTGGTGTTTTTGTTTTTGGTTTTTGCTTTTGTTTTTGTTTTTGTTTTTTTTTTTTTTGTTTGTTCTTGGCTGTCGCTCGCA